TTAATAATAAATAAAAAAAAATCTAGTACTTTTCTTGTATTTTTACTGTTGGGTTTTAATTATTGTGTAGAAATTTTTATGAATGAAATAAAATGAAATAGAATTTTACAATTTCATTCATATAAAATATATTCATTATATTATAATAAGTTGTGTGAATCTCATCACATAAATAAATCTAAGTAGGAATGTGAGGAAGTATGAGTAATCAAAGATTTTTTATTCAAGTGTTGTTATCTTTCAAGTAGTCCAATTTTTTGTATATAAAGCTGAACCACCAGTCCAAATTAGTTTAAAAACAATATACTCAAAAATGAAGACTACCTTAGTTTTGCCTCTGTTGGTTTGTGTCGGTAAGCTTTTAGAAAATTTTAGTATTTATTTACGTTTTACCATTTTTTAGTATTTTTCCCTTTTTGTATGTGAAGAATGTTTTTATCTGTGTATAGTTTTGTATTCGGATGGGAAAATTTTATGGCTTTGTCTATTAATATTGTACCAATTAACTCCATACTTATTGCTACTTGTTCGGATTTATTTATCGTTACAGTCGCTCATGACGATTTCTCTGTCGTCACTGTTCATATATTTCTTAGATCTTTCGATATCGAGGTAAAATTCTTCGAGTTCTTCCTTAGTGCCATCTGTAGTGCATATACTGGTGCTAGGTTTATATCAGCTTTATATTAGATTTATATCATATACACAACCAATCGTTAAAAAAATTGACATTTTTCATCGATGGTCTGTTGGAATTAGAAGTCTCCTCTTAGAATTAGAAGAAATTTAGTAAACGAAAAATGGGTACTTAAACTCTATATCAATCAATTCCAAATTGTTTTGTAGTATATGTCTGCTTAACAAATATGATTTTTAACTCACAGATAATTGAAAATAAAAAGCCATCTCGGCCTTTGAGCACTGCTTTATAAAACAATCCTATCTTTTCAAAGGATTTAATCGCAATAGACAAACATTTAGTCTAGTTTACTTTCTTGCATAAAACTAAAATAATAATACCCACAGAGAAAACAAAAAAATCAGCACTAATATTCTTAGATCTGTTTTAAACTATTACAGTAAACGCACAGTTATATACACAGATGCATCTAGATATGTAGATCGATAGTAGGGCTGAGCTTATTTTTACCCTCAGTTCCGAGTTCAAATACAAACTTTCCAATGAGTTTACTATTTTCTAGGCAGAATCATTGGCCAAATTTACAGCATTGAAATATGTTAAAAACATTTATATTGAAAAAACGTTTATTATTTGAGTTTGTCTTTCAGTTATACAGAATATAAAAAATACTTTTTACCCAAAATATTTAGTAATTCTTACACATTTTTAATAAACGATCAGTAAAAGTATTTTGCAGTCTCTGGCTTCAATATAAAAATTATTTTTGCTAAATCACGTATTGGGCTCAAAGATAATAAATACGTACATTACTTAGTTACAATCAGTGTACCTTTGGGCCATTTATTGTCATATTCCTTATGAGTATCAAAAAACGTTACCTGCAAAAAAATTAGGGCTTTTTAAATGTGGCTTTATCGTCAAATCCCAAGAATATCTTATCCCGACCCCCGGTAATCTATCAATGATTAGTGGAATGCTGTTAATGAGTTTTGCAACTTAGACAGTACCTGAAATTCTAACACTATTTTAAGCTGTTTCTCTTTATGAGTAAAAAAAGAAAGTTTCACCATTCTTTTTTTCACTAACAGTTGATTATTCTTGTTTTCATTTCTCTTTATTGATACCTAGTAAGTTCTAGTTTATATATTTTTATCTCTCTCTTTCTGCCATTAGCTAATTCTCCTACATTGTGTAATCTTTTTATATTTTATGTAGATATTTCGATTTTACAAACGGGGACTCTTAGCACCCACTGACCATTGGACATCTGTTGTAGACTAGGAATGACTAGGGGCCAATTCTACTTGCTTATCCTCTCTCGTTTAATGATTTAGGTTGTCAACTCATATACCTATGAGATCTTGCTATTTAAGGGCAAAAGGTTGCCCAGGTTTGTATAGCCTATGCACATTTACAATGGCCGTAATACTCGCCAGTTCACGATATGTTCATTGGTTTTGTAGTATTTTGTAATTTACACCTTTGTAAGATATTCCCACCACATCGATTAGTATCGCTACTGAGTGGTTGGGGACTAGTATTCAGTGTATTTGCAGCAAACTTTTATTTCTATAGACGTAGCCATTCACTATCGGTCATCTGTGATGCTGCTAATAGCCTACAGCTGGGCTACAGTAGATGAACGATAGACAAAGAAGGCATAGAGAACAATAATAAAAGAAATTAGTAAAAGCGTCGATTTTTTTTGGCTTTTTTATTTTAATATTTTTGTTGGAATAAATACAAAATTAATTTAAGACTTAAATTTAATATCAGAATTTTCATCTTAAAAATCGTTTGTAAAATTTTCAACAAAACGATTTCTTTGATAGAAATCGAAACACCAAATAAGTATAAAGTATTTTTAATTAAAATTACTGTTTGCTTGAATTCAAAACTGTATTTTAAAAGGTTTGCTATTCACTTATTAAAACCACTTTTTTTTTCTAGGTTTAACCGTTGGCGCCCAAAAGAATGAGTAAGTAGCTTTAAAGAAATAAAAAAATTATATATAACCAAACAAAGCTTATAGTGTTTATTATAGAACAGTCTTTATCACCTTCCATGCTTGTACAATACTTGTTTCACCCATATACCTATCCACCTCTGCCCATCTTCGATCTTACATCTCACATAAATTTTTTATTATCTTGTAATCTTCCTCCTTATTCGTTGACATGCATTTCTGATAAGCAGTTTTCTTGTTGTTTACTAACGTTTACATATTCTCCGATCACCATTCTTGGTTTTGTTTTATGTTTGTCTTTATACCCCAAAGCTTCCCTTGGAGCCTCATGAATGCATTTTGTTAATTGCTGGTAGAATTCTTCCGCTAATGTATTTTCTCGATCCACATTTTATAATTTTGTGGCCTGTTGTAATTTGTTATGAAATTTCTAAATCCGATTTACTTCTCTTAAATAAATATATGTAGTGGGTTGTCTTTTTAGTTTTGCATGAAGCCAAATATATTGACTTAAAGTACTTTATTTCAATTTCAAAATATTTATATCCACCAGGATCGACATAGTTTTGCCTATGTGTAAATATCAATTGCTAAAACAGTTATTTATAACAATTATAATGCTGGTATATTTTTTACATAAAATTAATTTAATATAATTTTTTTAATTTATATATTTAAAATCTATTTTTTAGCTTTTATTGCGATACCTGTGTAGCATTTGCATCTGCGATAAAAGAACTCGTATTAGAAGAAGTTCCATTGGTAAGTTTTTAAAGTACTAGTCTGCTTTTTTATCTTAAATTTTCTTTATAGCTTTGCTAAAAATTGCAATTTATATTCAATTCGTTATGATGATCGTTTGTGTGATATTCTACTTGTAATAATGTACTATCTATATGCAAAAAAAAAATAAGAAAAAGTCATTTTTTGATTAAATTTTTCATGGAATTATTGTAAAGTATAAATACATGAGACAATAATCATTGGTTATTAATGTTGCTCAAATTATTAAATGCTCGATCAATCGTACCGAACAAATCAGAAAAAGGAACTCAAGAATAAAAAATACAGGTGGTAATATATTTATGGTAAAACACAAAATATTTCAAGGTAAATTCGATTATAATAAATAACTTTCTGTTTTCTTTACAGGACAAAATTGAAAAAAATGCACAAATAATTTGTACTCTTCTAGCAGAAACTCTACCAGGGAATATAAAACATTTTTTGCGAAAAAGAATTGATTCCAGAAGTCGACAAAATCTACAATGAACTCGACAACACATCGCCCCAAAAAGTATGTGAAATTTTGGAATTTTGTGAAACAAATTAATGAGTTATAAAAGTGTAAAATAAAAATAAACTTTTGAATAAAAAGTTTTTTGTGTGTTAATAATAAAATGGATAGAAATTGGATATCATTGTATAAATTAATTTCTTAATAAACCCCTTCTCTGGCTCAGTATTAAGAGCGCCTCCCTTTGAACCTAAAGGTTGTGAGTTCGAATCTCACCTGGGTGGAGAAATTTTCGTTTATAAAAAATTAATAATAAAAATAATTTATATCCTTGTGTGATCGGTACTCACCGGAGGGACCGCAGAAGTTCGGATACAATTAGCGTCTCTTAGCAAAGACAATGACGTCGACTTTGCTAAGTATCAAGACAATTACTCTACACACACACACACACACACACACACACACACACACCACACACACACACACCACACACACACACACACAACACACACATACACACACACACGCACTACACTAGGTACCTGACTGTAAAAATTCACTGTACCATGCCATTAGTAGTCGACACATTAAACTCAATAAAAAAATTCCTTAATAATTCGCTTAATCTTATCTATAGGGTAACAATTTGGAAATATTTATAAAGCCATTGGGAGTTGTGTAGAAACAGTTATAAATTTGTTTTTAATAAAATATATCCATATTGTGATGTAAGTCACAGGTGCACTTTTTGGCAAAAATTTTTGAACTGTTTCAGTGGTAAATTGAAGGAAAAAAAACCGTGTGAGTTTTAGTAACAAAGCTCATATTGGGGTTTTCACGGACCAAACGCACAAACAATTTGTGTTTGTATCACTATAAAATATAGAAACTTAAAGAGGTTTACAACAATGATTTTGTTAGAATGATACACACTGTCTGGTTGAAATTACAAACTTTTTCTCTTTTAGTGTTATTAAAATTTATTTAACCTTCTCTCTTTAACCTTCCAGCGGTCGCGCGTATGTGGTAGATCCACTGGTAATAGATTTAGTATAATATCTATTACCTACGCTACGCTGCGATAAGGTGCTTTTCGCTATTCCTACTTCATTACTAAAGCTACCTTCCAGTGCACAAAAATAACCTATCAAGCGATAGTACGTTACTGAAAATTTTGCATTTGTATTTCAGATATACGCGCGACTTTTTAGATAAGTTTTTATAACATCTGTTTTTTTTTGTTATAGTTACATTATTCTTATTGTAATATTGATAACATATTACTATTTCATCCATTTTTGTGTTAAAAATTTTCTACGTTGATATAAGAGGTCTGTATCTCTCATATACACGCGACCGTTTGTGGCGATTAGTTCCATTTTGTTTATTTTATTTTAGAAATGGCGGAAAAGAAGAAGATTTTCAATCTCAATGATATAGAAGCTGTTACAAATTTGATATTTGCTGAGTCGGATGACGATATACATATAGATGATAACGATACAGACGAAGAGGAATATGTTTCGGAACGTGAAAACAAGTATGGTACAACCTAGACAGTTTAAACCATGAAAGTGTAAAGCTAGTGTATAAAAAACGATTAGACCAAAAAGTAGAAATGGGTAATTTTGGAAATACCGAAAAACAGTACGAACACATCAAAAGGTCGATTCATTTAGCAGCAGAAGAAGCTCTGGGGAAATGTGACGAAAATAATAAAGGAATAAAACCGTACTGGTTTGATGAAGAAATAGAGAAGGAAATTAAAGACAAACGTCGGAAATACCAAACATTTTTAACAACAAAAACAGAAAACGATAAAACAAGTTACAAAGAAGAACACGCCAAAGTAAGAAAAAAGACAACAAGAAGGAATCATTGGAACAGAACTGCCAAAAGATCAACAGCTACATAGGAGGTAAAAGAAATACAGAGAGTTGGAGATTGATTAAAAGTATGAGAAATAATAAGAAAAAAGACGTTATATCACCAATAACAACAGATAAATGGGAAGAAAATTTAAAAACATTACTAACAGAACAAGGACCAGAATTTGCTAACATGGAAGACAACACGATAGGTATACGTATAAATTCATCACAATTACAAATAAGTAAATCCGAGATGAAAGAAATAACCAAATCCCTGAAAAATGGAAAATCCCCTGGTCCTGCTGACATTCCTGCAGAATTAGTGAAAGCCGGTACAGACAAACTCCAGGAACAGTTAAGAAAACTCTTTCAAGGCTTCTTGAATGGGGCCGAATTACCAAAAGAATGGAAATTATCTATCATGTCAACTATCCACAAAAAGGGCAGCAAATATCAGTGTGAAAATTATAGATGAATTGCGGTAAACAGCACAATAAGTAGGATGTATGAAAAACTTATTAAGAACAAAATAGGAAATGACTATAGAGATTACCAAGCAGAGGATCAAGCTGGTTTTAGAGCTGGGCGATCCACAGTAGACCACCTGTACTCTATTACGCAAGTTATTGAGAAAAAAACAGCCGTCAATAAAGAAGTTCACCTGGTGTACGTAGACATACAAAAAGCATATCACAGTGTACCCCTAAGTAAACTATGGTCAACCTACAGCAAACCAACATTAAGCATGGTCTTATCAAAGCAGTCCAAAGTCTGTATAATGGAACAACTGCAAAAATTAAAACTGGATCAAGGATATCTGAAGGATTTAAGGTCACGAAAGAACTAAAGCAGGGTTGCTGTATTTCGCCTACCCTTTTCAAAATTTATCTGGAGCAAGCACTCAAGCTGTGGAAAAGAAAATGTAATGGCATGGGAATCCCTCTCAATGACGAGACTACACTGTACACCTTATGTTTCGCTGATGACCAAATACTGATTGCTTAGGATCATGACGACTTGAATTACATGGCCCGGAAGCTAATAGAAGATAATAACAAATGGGGTCTCGAAGTCAACATTAAGAAAAGTAAAGCCATGTGTATTGGAGGGACAAAACAGTCCATTATATTAGACGATGGGGTAGAAATTAGAAACTGATAAATACAAGTACCTGGGAATGAAGATAACTCAAGATGGAATACTCAATGCTGCTATAAAAGACAGAAACATACAGGGTAGAAAAGCCATATCTATGATGAACGGGATTCTGTGGGACTAAACAATATCTAAAGCGAACAAACAACTCATATACAACACCATACTTAAAAGTGTAATCACATATTCTGGACTTCTGGAGAAGAGCATCAAGAAAAGATCAGATACCAAATGAGAGAATACGAGAAATGATGGAAGTCAAGCATACAATAGTTGATGACAAAAAAAACAAAACAGTTAATATGGTACGGCCATGTACAAAGAATGCCAGATGACAGGATTCCGAAACAGATTTTGACGTGCACACTACAAGGGAGAAGGAAAAGAGGAAGGCCGAGAAGGAGCTGGAGAGAGGGAATTGAAAAAGAACTAGAGGAAAGAGAAGTCCCTCTAGGCCTATGGCTGAATAGAGAAGAATGGTGGTGAGGAGTCGCAAGACGTCGGAGACTGCTGTAAACCGATAGTAGTAGTAGTAGTAGTAATTCATGACTATTATTTTGTGTTTATTCGATTAGTCGGTTGTTGGCGTTTTACTATTTTAAGTTTGAGTTTTATTTGTGTCTGGCTGTGTGGGTATTTACCCTAAAGCCAAAAAAAAAAGTTTGAGTTTTATGTCACTGATTAATAAATTATGATATGAAGGGACATCGGCTCCAGGTAGTGTTTTAGTTATTTTGATTGAATTTCGGTACCTCGCGTTAATTGTTATATAATCGATCTGATTTCTTATGATCTGTTCTTTAGTATCTGCTGGTGACTTTCATGTATATAAACGACGCTTGGGTAGTTTGAAGAATGTATTTGTCACACAAAGATTGTTCTCTACGCAGAGAACAATCTCTGCAAATCAATCTTCTACAAAACGGTCTCCTCTGTCATTACGTTGTCCAAGTCTAAAATTCCCTACAATGTTTTCTTGTCTATTTTTTCTTACTTTGGCATTGAAGTCCCCTATTATTATAGTAATGTCTTTGTTTTGACTTTCATGTATATAAACGACGCTTGGGTAGTTTGAAGAATGTATTTGTCACACAAAGATTGTTCTCTACGCAGAGAACAATCTCTCTTCTACAAAACGGTCTCCTCTGTCATTACGTTGTCCAAGTCTAAAATTCCCTACAATGTTTTCTTGTCTATTTTTTCTTACTTTGGCATTGAAGTCCCCTATTATTATAGTAATGTCTTTGTTTTGCAGCGGACTCATTACCTTCTTTATACCATCATAAACATTGTCTATTCTTCACTACTGCTGGCTGTGGGCGCATAAACTTGGACCAGATTTATATCTACAGTTTTAAGTTTAATTGCATCACTAATGTAACTTATAATACAGGAAGAGATTTCTTTATGTAAAATGAATGCAACGCCATTCCGGTGCTCAATGCCTTCTTCTCCGGAATAGAATACATCGTGGTCGTCTATGTTAAATTTACCAG